ACTGTCTCCAGTATTGTCGCCATAACTCGATATTGCATCGCTAGAATTCGGTCGGACGTTCCTAGAGCTTCATTTTTAAAGGCCTCTGTTGCTTTTCTGCGAGAATCTTTGAATCTCTTCTTTGCCTTGGAAAGCGCCTCCACGGCTAATTTTTCCAGGTCAGTAAGCTCCAACGTTGCCATTCGTACGGCGAGAGAAAATGCTTCATCACAAGCTGCTTGCGTTGTTGCCGCGCTGTGCTCGCTTCTGGACCTTGCTTTGAAAAAAAAATCATACAACAACTCGATTCCTTCCTCAAAGAAGCTGATACTTGCTCCCAAATCTTTCCTTGATAATCCATCCAACTTGGACTTGATATCGTCGATTTCACGGACGATCAATGCACGAAATTTTTGATCCGTTACATCGCCATCTCTCAGCTTCTCCGCTGCCTTATCTCTGCCTTTATCCACCAGCCAGCCAATAGTGACTTTAAAAACAGCTCTCGCAATCGAAGACATGTTTAAAGTTTGAAGTAAAGATCTCGGAAACTGTTGCGTGTTTAGTAAAAATGATCTTGTTATGACGTAGCGTCGCAACTATCAGAAACATGGTTTAAAAATATCCGGGTCAGCATCGGTGTCGTAAAATAAAATGTCTACTGGACTCGATAGAGACTGGACTTCCCATAATGTGGAGTAAAGAGCTCATGGCTTGTTTGTTTGTTTGTTTAAAAAATCATAATGTTTATCGAACGTCACAGTCTAGTAGAAGCCAGTTAAGACAAGTTAGAATAGAAATTGCAAACATTTTTATTCCATTTTAACTCTATTGCATGGCATTGGCTTCTTTTAATTTTTAACGATATAACGAATGTTTTATTGTACGTGTCTTTTTGTTCTTTTATTAGAAAGCTATGCGTTGGGTAGCCTCACACCACAATCATTATATTTATAGAACCGAAAGATTATTTCATTGCATTCTGGTACAAAACTTCCCGCTCTTAACAATTAGGGCCTGTTTACAAGGAGAGAGGGTTACCCGGGTATGCGGGTTACCCTAGCAAGCAGGTTACCCTAGCAAGCACTCACACATTTTTTCTTTTTTTTTTCCGTTATGTTTACAAGGCAGCTAGGGTTACCCGGGTATGCGGGTTTAACTTTTTCGCTTGGAAACACTC